AAACTCCATACACACACACACAGGGAGAACATGCAAACTCCATACACACACACACAGGGAGAACATGCAAACTCCATACACACACACACAGGGAGAACATGCAAACTCCATACACACACACACAGGGATAACATGCAAACAGGGATAACATGCATACACACACACACACACACACATTATTTTACGGACTATGGTTACATAATGACAAGTTCTGTTTGACTATAGTTTATTTCAGGTAAACTCCCATTTTTGCTTTATAAACATCACAATATTTAGCACAAAAATCTATCAGTGTGAACTTTTTCTGTTAATGTTCAGCCCAACTCAATGCACACAAAGTACTGTATTATGTATCATGTAAACAGCAGGAATAATCTCAATTTTAGCAGCGATTATCTAGAGATACAGGAGCTGTAGACAGTAAATTAAGCAACATGATTGAAAGCGACGTAAAGAGAAAGACAAGCGGGGTACTCCAAGAAGCTGAAGGCCGCATCGCTTAGTTATTCATGGCTAACCTCGCATTACTAGCCGAGTCCCTCAAACCTTAAGGTCTACCACACGACTGAGGCTATTGCTCTTCATCTGGACCCTCATCTTCCTTCCGCCATATTGCTGGGTAATCGAGAAGGCAAATTTTAATCAATGCTTTTTAAAAACGGACTTTAACTGAGTAATCATGACAGCTCTACCGAAGATGCATAATGCACCGGGATGATGTCGTAAAGCTGATGTGCTTCTCATTGGTTTATATCTGCATTTCCTTGGACAGCTTTCCTTGGATGCAGATCCTGTGGTCGTTCCCTAAAGGCTGTAATGACTTGTTTTTAACCCTTGGCATTAGAAGTCATTTATACAGATGGTCATTTTAAGGGCGCCAGTTCAGACTGATGTATAGTTTTTCAAAGAAAATATGTATGCTCTTTTAGTCATTAATCTGTAGAAGATCCCTCACTGAGCCTCATAGAACAACATAGGGTAGGCAGTTTCCTTTTCTCCATCTTAAGTGAGCAGTTTTTCAAATGCAGCTGAGTTCTTCAAAAGTAGGTTACATTTAGCATCTTTGACTGCAGGACAAAAAAAAAAACACATTCTGTGGCTGTGTGTTAACTTTATGATGCTAACAAAGGCATACAAATGAGTGTTTGAGAATCCCGGTGGCTGATAGTGGCAGTCACGGCAGTAAGAACACAATCGTGCCTCTGTGGACTTTCCTATTTTATGCCTCGGATCCATGGACGGTTGTATCTGAATTATTTGAGTCACAAACATTTAATGGACAGGCAGATCTCACTGATGGCACGGCCGAGGTCAGAAGCCTTCCTGGTCACTCCGATCAGGCTGTGTACTTTTCTTTCATGCACAGCTGCTCAGAGTGTCCAGGGTTTCACTACATGTTGTATGTGTACAACTGTGTACATGACGGATAAAACTCTTGAATCTTGAATCATGAATCAGATCACTGAGAGGTCCATGTATTCAAACAAATTTTGTTTTACATTACACAGCAAAAATACATAGCACGCACATACTGTGTACGCATACAGATGCATCATCATGTAACGTGCAGACAAGAGTAATGAAATATGTTACCTGAGAGTGAGATTTAAAGGGGTTGTATGTTGATTTGAGGCTGATCCACTGGGTAATGAGTTTAGTTTTGGCCTGCAGGATTTATAGCCAATGGCTAATGCACCTTCTGCTTTCCCTTGTTACCTAGGTCTGGAGCTGCTTGGGTTGTATCCGGAATGATTTGTCCCAGCCACAGCAGGCTTTCCTGGCAATAAGATAAAGAAAAGTGAAAACGAGCCTCCCAGGAATCGATAGCGTTACTGGCGAGGGCACCGGCGTAGAGAGTGCATGACGGAGAGCGAGGGCGGCTCTTTCTCCAGAGCCTCGGACTGGGTGTACCATTACAGATAGCCCCGGCTTGGCGATCTGTAAACTTGCGGTTAGGCGCCAGACGATGGAGCGCCAACACAGTTCCGAAGGAGGCGTCCAGATGGGCAGGATCAAGGCTGCTATAGCCGAGGAGGACGGGTCAGCCCACTACGCTTGCAGCGTCTGCGGCCGCAGCTTCCCCTTCCAGAGCTCGCTGTCGCAGCACATGCGGAAGCACACGGAGGCCAGGCCATACAAGTGTCCCTACTGTGACCACCGGGAAGCCCAGAAGGGCCGGTTGAAGGTCCACATCCGCAGCCACCGCATGGGTGTACCCGGACGTGGCCACGAACAGACAGATGCAGAAGGAGACGAGGAGGAGGCGGAGGTGGGGGAACGACAGAACAGCGAAGTAGGCGTGTCTGAGGGCCTGGACAGCTGTGCCAGCCCCACCAAGAGCACGTCGGCTTGCAACCAGATGGTCAACGGCAGCCCAGAGGGCACCAGGGGCAAGGTACAGAGCAGGAGCGCCTGGACGCTGTCTCTTCAGTGCACCATCTGCAGCAGGAAGTTGGGTAGCCAGGCAGAGCTGGATAAGCACTCACAGCTGTGCCGGCTCTGTAGCCACGTTGCTCAACGAGAGAATCAGCTCCTCGACCACCTCAAGAGGCCTCGCATCCCAGAAGACGCAGCCCCCGGGGTTGGGTCTGAAGGGGAGTCTGGCGAATTTTCTTGCGGCTTGTGTGGCCAGAGCTTTGCCCAGGCCTGGCTCCTGAAGGCCCACACGAAGAAGCACCTGGGCCCCTTCGAGCACGCCTGCCATGTCTGTGGCCGGCGTTTCCGTGAGGCCTGGTTCCTAAAGAACCACATGAAGACCCACAGTATCAAGGCTAACTGTCGAGGCAAGTCAAGGAGTGAGCTGGAGCCACCGGCCACCATCAACAACGTGGTGCAGGATGAAGCAGTTATGGTCAGGACTGCCTCTCTCTACGAGCTCTGCTTCAAGTGTGGGAACCTCTTCCATGACAGAGAGAACCTTCAGATCCATAACAGAATCCACAGCCGGGCGTCGCACCTTGAGCGGCAGGACAAGCACGAAGGAACCAGCAACCACCCAGACTCGTCTACTGCAAAGAAGCTTTTTTTGGAGTGCCTGAATCTCCAACCCACTGAGGATGGAGGAAACAAAACATTGAAGAACAATTTGGGCACGCGTATCCTGGAGCTGGACCCAGTCTGCAGTTACCAGACCTGGCAGCTAGCCACCAAGGGTAGGGTGACGGATTCTTGGGACAACGGCAAGGACATTGGCTGGGAAGAGGTGCCAGTGGATGGAGATTTGGGCAATGATCAGGGGACAGGAGAGTCCATCCCGGTAGGGCAAGAGAAGCGGAAGAGGGAGGCGGACTCCCACTATGGTTCTGGCGGTGGCAAAAGGAGGAACAGCGGGAGCCACGCCCACCACCACAGTGGGAACGGACATGCCCTGGGTGACTTCACCCCTGAGAGCTTGAGTGACTCAGAGTACCGGCCCCCATCTCGAGCGGGCCGGCGCTCCTCACAGAGCAAAGCCACCGAGTGCTTCGAGTGTGGGAAGGTGTTCCGCACGCGCACCCAGATGGCGATGCATACGCGCACACACCGCAGGGGGGGGGGGCGGGCCCCCAGGGGGGACCGCGGCGGATCCGTCAGTGAGGCCGAGTCGGGCTCGGCCAGCCGCCCCAGCACCCCTCGCTCTGGGTCCTCGCTGCCTGCCTCCAGAGCGGGCGACACCACGCCAGACAGGGTGGAAGAGAAATCCCCGACCGCCGGCCCAGGTAAGGACACGCTTTTACGATCTTTTTAATCATATCTGGTTTGTGTAAACAGAGTACAGCTATACGCTACCAGTCGAAACTTTTGACTTTTTCTATATTTGCATGAGATTATCTACATCTGCATGTTACTCACTTAACATTTAATAAAAATACACTGAGTATTCTTTGCTAACAAATAAATTTACAGTATATTCATCATTTGAGTACTTTATTAGCAAGAAAATGTCATATCTTTGATTCATCAAAGTAACCTCCTCTAGCAGTTATAACAGCAGAGAAAATTCGAGGCATTCTTTCTGCAAGGGACATTACATACTGCTCTGTTTCATAGGATGAAACACCTAACTAGTGCATTTAAAGTTAAAGCACAGCCTAGAATGTGACTCTGCCATCACCACACAACCAGTTACAATAGGATGTCAGACATGCACTGTTACATACTCTTTCCAAGTTATGAAGGGAACTTGTTTTATTTTACTTATATTTTCATTTATAGTTGTTCACTCAACTTTACAATATTTAACAAGAATAAAAAATCAGTTTATGAAATAAATGAAAAAGTGGTAAAAACCTGTGGTGTGAGAAACCTTTTGACTGGCAGCACATAGATATATTTCTCTGTATAATCATGCTGAAACCTTCAGCCCAGTTTGCTTACTCATAGGTCTTTCCACTTGCTTACAAGTTTTTTTTTTGCAAATCTGCCGCTCATTGTTTTCTAGTACAAACAGATAAAGACTGACATTTCACAGCTTTATCCTGACTGATACAAGAGAGAACCAGATTTTTACCAGGGAAACTAATTATTATATTAATATTGAATATAGTCATAATTAATTAAAAGCATCATAACATGAACTGTCTCAGATGGGTGGTTGTATGGCATTGTGGGTAAATAAGGACTTGCTTCCTCCCCGTTGTTGGTCAGGGCAGCCCAGAGACGGCAGGGTGATCTCAGAGATCGGCAGCCAAATAGACACAGACATGCTATGGGGTGAGACCGAAAGTCTCGTGCTCAGGGGTTATCGGTTAAACCTTCTTTACGTTAAGGCAGGGCTGTACATCAGCGGTGGAAAGTTCAGGTCACCAAAGTAAAATCCAGACCAAGATTTTGTTTCAACCAACCAAATGAGCCTGAAGAGTCACAGTCACAGGGTCCTCAACTGGTTGGCTTAAACAAAGTCATGGTCTGGATTTTTACTTTCTGGACCTGGAATTTCCACCTCTGCTGTACCTGCCGATAACAGCACTATCTGTCCCTTACAGGACCTTTCTATGTGAGCCACAGCTGTGTCTCTAACTGAAAACAGTTAAACTATGCATGACATTAATACTTGAGATTCTGAGGACATGGCCACATTTACTCACAAAGAAGAGTCATTCTCTGCCGCCGACCCGTTTATGTCAGACAACGGGTTTGTTTTGTGCCTATAGTCCGTCTCAGCTCTCTGCTTTGGACAGATTCAGCATTAAAAAGCAGCTGTTTGTGAAAAGCCCATTGTTAAAACAGTCCTTCACCTCCAGCTCCCAGCACACAAGAGTGGGATGCACTAGACACCTAGTGGTCATATTTGGAAGCAGCAGGTGCTATACAGAACATTCTTAGCTTCATTCTCCATGACCTAATCACACGACACATCTCCCAAAGAATGAATGTTATCCGTGTAACATTTTTAGTAGATAATGGTTTTCAGATTAGATTAGTCAAAATTCACTTAAGCAGAAGCCAGTGGTAGGGGACATACCTGACAAACTAACAGATCTGCAGGATCACCTGGGAGGGGCAAAGAATAACTGTATTTTAAAAGCATGAAATAAAACTCCAACACAGATTTCTGATTTCACCATACTCACAAGTTGTCATTCAATTCAATTCAGTTCAATTCAATTCAGTTCAATTCAATTCAGTTTAGTTCATTTCAGTTCAGTGTGATTCAGTTATATAAGTATAGTGCCTTTTCACAACATTACATTGTCTCAAAGCGCCTTACATTATCCCTGCCTAAAGCCCCAAAGTCATGTTATTTTGTGGTCAAGAGGCTTGTAAATGGGAACTCCACGAGAAAACTCAAAACCGAGAGCTGGTAGGCACTCAAGTGTGCTGGCGAAATGGAATCCTGCCCAAAAGGTTACAAGTTCAAATCTTAGCAGTGAGATTTGTGTCGGACAACCCAGTAAATGTTGTAGCCTGAACTGCATCAGTCATTCAGTGCAATATATACAGCTGAACTTTGGAACTGAAACGCCTCTTAACTCCACCAATTCGGAAGTCAAACACGTCTGTTGATTTGTTTTTTTAGTTGTACCTAGACCAAAATCTTGGAACTCGACCTCGTGTGGTTCAAGATGCGTTCAACTCTACCAATTTGGACCTTGAACAGGTCGTTCGAGAAAAATCTATTCGCAATTCGACCATAAACTCTAAACACAACAAAACAAATCAGATCTGCTAAAACCTGTACAGATCGAGATGCGTCTCTGATGGACTGAAACAAAGGCGAACGGACCTACTGGGATGCTGATGTCTATGAATCGCTCTCAGACTCACGGTACCTCTCGACCGAGGTCGACGTGTGAAAGCTGTGTTCCTGTGTTCGGTGTGAATTTTTTTGTGCTTTATCTACAGTACATTTAGTGATACAGTAACCATGGCCCCTAAGAAAGTGAGCAGTGATAGCAGCAAACCAGAGGAAAGTAGTGAGAGTAACTGAAGAACTTAAAAAGGAAATTATAGTGAGACTTGAAGGTCGTGCACATGTGTCTGCTCTCTCTTCGATTGTCATTTATTTCATGTTTATTGCTTTTGTATGTGTTCTTTTAAATGTGTCTATTAGTTTTATATTGATTGATAATGCTATTTATCATTAGTTAGGTAGATAAGTTTAAATAGGCAATCTTTTGGGGGTCTGGAATGGATTAAATTCCATTAATTTACATTATTTCTTATTGGGAAATTCAACTTGGAACTCGACCAAATTGCTACTCAACCAGCCTTCTGGAATGAATTAAGTTCGTGTTCCAAGGTACCACTGTACTGTATATCACTGTGTACCATTGTATTTCCGTCCCAGGTCCATAGTAAATAATATACACTCATGGAGAGTCACCTGAAAGCGGATGCAGTGGGACATTAGGTGGTGTATCGAATAGTGTAACAGGCGCAGGAGAACAGGCAGCCCTGCTAGCCGTGTGATGAGCCACTATACATCTGACTTTTAACACAGTATGCATACAGTAACATATGTATGGTGGACAGCTTCAGTAGGCAGTACACTAATGGAACAAAAGCAGAAATAACACAAATCAAATTGCAGGGACATACTTTTTTTTTACTAGCGAAAACGTACCTGTGTGGGGTAATGAGCCACAAACCTACAGTGCAGGCTGTATTCAGACACTCATTACCCGGTGCGACATCCTTGGGCAGAGCGGTTGATCAAGGTTTTGTGTATCGATTAGTTGCCCTTCTCCGTCATTCCCCATGTGGTGCATAAAAAAGTGTAAATTTGTGTGGGTTTTTTTCCCAAGCCAGAGCTGAGCTGCAATCTGCTGAGGGCCCCCACCCCCAAAGGCCTTCCTTTCCTACCCCCCCTCATGTTTACTTTTCATTTCCCACCAAACTTGTCGTTTTCTTTTTGCTTCCACTCCCATCCCAGCTGGATCGCGTTTGTCCCCAAAAAGGACATGGACTCCCCTAATAAACATCCTATCCAGCCCCCCTGTGTGCGGTCACATGGTTCTGTACAAGTCCCAAGTTAGAGACGTCTGTGCCGTGAGCTTGAGTGTTGGGAGAGTCTCCGGGCACTATCGCGGCCAGCTCACCCACAATGCCATGCCGTGTCCACGCCGTACTCGGCCACCATCGCGGCCAGCTCACCCACAATGCCATGCCGTGTCCACGCCGTACTCGGCCACCATCGCGGCCAGCTCACCCACAATGCCGCTGCCGCCTCCACAGCGTACTTCACATTTCAGTGTAATGTGACCCAGGCACTGTCACATTAACCTCGTATAAACTGCATGCTGTTCCTGCTGTTTCTGCTTCTCTGGGGCTCATGGGGGCCGGGGAGGGGTGGGTGGCGGGTCGTGGGAAAGAACAGTGGGCAGGATGAGGAGGGGCAGATCTCTGCTGCCCCCTGTCACGACCCGGGTTCACTGACCCCAGGCATCCCAGCGTTTTGCCGGCTGAATTGAATCCAGACGGCTGTCTGCCCCCCTCTCGGTGTGAGATACAACGCCATCACTGTGCAGTGTGGCGAGGGTGCCAAGACTTCTGCATTAATAATTTAATGAAAATGAATGGGAACACCATTTAAGCTTTTTAGTGTACATTTTCTTGGCGAGGGGGGGGGGGTAAGCGGCACCACTCACGGGCTCGCTGCGCGTGTGTAAACAGTGCTGCCCCCGGAGGAGGCCCGGGTCACTGCTTCCCAGGCCCTGATGTTCTGCAGCTTGCAGAGATGTGGGGGAGTGCTGAGAAACAAGGGGCGGCTCATCGGGGTGAAAAAAAACTGCAAGATTAGCTGTGCGCCATGTCTCAGCATTTTTAAGGTGAATTGTAAGGCGAGCTAGGAAAGCCATGAGTAACAGTCAGAGGATGAAAAACTGCTCTAACAGTGGTGCTACAGTGCCATCTTGTGGCCGTCTGCACTAAATGACTGCATTATTCTTCATATAAACATCATGTGCTGGTCATTTTTGGTTGTACCATTTTGCTACTGCTGCCCTTTCTAACCACACATGTTCACCTTTTAGAAAATCACCTTCTGACCCCCTTTGTTTCATTTCGCTCTTGACAGATGAAAAGCAGCACGTCTGTGGCGCGTGTGAATTCAGAAGCAGCGACTCCAGCACCTTGGCCGCACACCTGCTTTCCCAGCATGCCACAGGTGGCAGTCTGGGCAAATCAGGCACTTCGGTGGGCGAGGATCTCTGTAAGGACCCGGGCCTGAAGGGAGGGCCAGCACCAGCCTGCTCGGGCAATTCTGCCCCCTACTCTTCTCCTGAGAGGGTTGCGGTGGAGTGTCCTCATCTGGAACCAGGTGTCCATAATGGAAAGGTCAAGGAGAAGCCCAGACTTTCAGAGGAACCCCCCATTGCTGCACTTGATCTGTCGATATGTGTGGGTGCCCCACCTGTGGGCACTCTGGCGCCCCCTAAAGACACCCCACCTGGTCACGAGTGCTCTTACTGCTCTTATATCACCCACTATCCTGAAGTGCTCTGGATCCACCAGACTGTCGCCCACAAGGTGAAGAGCAGTGCCCTGATCCCCTGCTGGGCCCCACGCTCCAGGCCCAAGGGGGCTTCGGGTATTCTGGCGTCTTGGAGGCGGACCGGACCCCCCCCTGCCTCTGGCGGGAAGGAGTGTCCTGGTATCCCCACCACCCGCTCTGCACGTACACAGCCCCCTAACTGGGACAGATCAGGCGGCGGACCCAGGGGAAGCACGACCACAGGATCTGGGTCTCAGGGGGCCGCATCTAGCAGGATCAGCCGGTCTGGGGTGGAAGAGGCCCGGCAGCAACGACCCAAGCCCGAGACACAGACCCGGCCCGTGGAGAGGAGCCCCGACACCCCACAGCCACCACTGACGAGCCCCAAAATGGGGGCCCGGCCAGCAGAGAGACACCCGCTTCCCCAGGAGGGCCTGGGCTTCATGCTTTCCAGCAAACACAACGTGTCCCACCACGCCCCCTCCCCAGGTCTGCCTCCGCCCCCGGCAATACAGTCCCAGGCCAAGTTGGGTCAGCAGGACCCGACGAGTCCAGGTGGACGGAACCCAGGCGGCTCGCAGACACGGGGAATCTCCGTCATGGGCTCCCCCCTGTCGCATCCCGCAACCAAGTACGAGTCAGCCCCCAACTCCCCGGTAGACATTCTCAACTTCCTGAAGAACTGCCAAGCCCATGACCTGGCCACGCTCTACCAGCGGTGGGGCTCCTCCAGTCCACTTCTGACTCACACAGGTAAGTGGGTGTGGCCACACCTAAAGTGGGCGGGGCCAATAAGGTTGCGTATAACTGCCCATGACAGTGAATGGTAGGCTATTATGTGTGCGTATGTGTGCGTGTGCATGTTTGTGTGTGTGTATACATCAACCAAACCCAAATGCACGGAGCTATTCACAATGTTATCCCCTCCCTGACCAGCTTTGCTCATTCCATTAATTAGCCGGATAATTACCTGATAGCTGACAGATGACTGATGGGCCTAGAGAGTGTAGGTGCCAGCAAAGGTACTCACTTCTACAGTCACTGTAGATCTGTTGCTTGATATGCCACATTACATGCAATCTAATTAAGTAGTACTGATGAGCAACCGTCTCGCTCACAGCGTGTGGCAGGTAAAGGAAAGCTGACACCGCCAACTCTGGCCCTGGCACCAAGATGGCTGCTAGACACGTATCGGATATGCCAGGACACTTTGCCGAAGCTCCTGAGCTATTCCAGATCCACGGCATCAAAATGGAGGCCTCTGAGGACCCCGTCTGTGGATGACCTCCTGTAGACCTCCTCGCCTAGACCGCTTAACTTAATTTAAACTGTCGCAGTCCATATTTCATTTAGGTGGAAGTTCTTTTTCATCTGACCATGGCAGAGATTTATGACTTCCCTGGCAAAGCGGGACTGTGGTGTTCTCTTTTCAAAGAAATAAAATTTGCACAGTACAAAACAACACATTGTGTGTAGCTACGTATTTATTAACTACTGGAGGTCCTTGGAGTGACTGTCAGCTGCGGACACACAGATGTTTCAACCTGCCCCCCAGCAACTACAGCCAGCGCTGTGTTTCTGCCCCCTGCTGGTGATGGAATGTGATGGAAGCATCGCCTTCAGGATCCATCCGTCACGTTCAGTTAGCCGCACCAGAATAGTTGTGAGACTTGTGGTGCCGATTCGCCCCATCCTTCCCAAAAAGGGCTGTGTTTTTTTTTTAGGTTTACGCTCGTAACGGAGTCCAAAAGGCCCCATCTCTGAGCGTATGTCTATCCATGGAGCACCTTCACGTGTGGTTAAAAATACTGATGGCGGCTAGAATTCTGAGTAATGCGCAGAGACAGGCAGCCCGGCACCGTGATGCCCTCAGCCAAAAAGCCATTGTGACAAGCTCAGGTTAGATCCACTTTGGATTCTACCTGACAGCACAAATATGTAAAGTACCACTGAGCAATTAAGGCAGCAGCTTCTTAGACACCCGGCATTCACGAAACCCACGTTTCTGCACGATTTCTCTGCAAAGACTGCTTATTTCTAAGGTCAAGTGGGACAATTTAACACGGGAAACTGTGCTCTATCTGCCACCCCTGTGTGATTTCTCCCTTTTTTTATGGGAAATTTCCACGCCTTGCGTCTAAGAGTCGGCGAGGGTGATACCACGGCTCCGTGTGGCCCCTTTGAGTCAGACTGGGTAAAGTGACCTTTGAGGAAAGGGGAATGGTTTTGCTTCTCTTTGTGTCCTCATTTATTTTCATCTTGCTGGCGAAAGGGGACCGTGTCCCTTCAGGGCCGGAGAGGGGTGCAGTGTGGGGCAGTCACAAAGGGACAGGTGTAGCATGAGTCGACGGACTGGGCCCAGATAGGTATGGGATACATGTGTAGCTGTAGTCAAGGCACCCATATAGGTGTGCAGCTACAGGACTCCTGTTCCTCTCCACCCCCATGAAGAGTTGGCAGTTGGCCATCGAGGTGACGGCTGAGGAAGCAGAGAGAGAGAGAGGCAGAGAGGGAGAGATAGAGAGGGAGGGAGAGGGAGACAGCCGGTGACATGTGACACGCCAGTCCTGGAGTGGGCACGTGACGGGTGACGCCTCTTAATTGTCTGTAATTTATGCGGCTCGGTGGCCTGTTGGCGTCTGGCTGTCAGGCCCTGCCTCATGTCGCCTGACAGCAGCCGTCCAGGCCCCGGAGGTAGCCTCACATAATGACACATTAGACATACTAATGATGTTTCCTCTCTCCATTTTTTTTTGCCCAGGCATAATGTTGTCTTCTTTAACTTTAATTTTCTAACCCCCCCCCCCCCCCCAGGAATGCTGAGGTCACTGGCCCACCAAGGAGACTACATCTGCCGCGATTGTGGAAGGAGCTTCAGCCAGCCCAGCCACCTACGCACACACATGAGGTCGCACACAGGTGCGTAAGACGGAGGCGTGCACCGGCGGGGGTGCGTGTGAGGGGTGTGCGGCTCGGAGCCGTGCATGTGCGCGGGAGCCAACATGCGAGTGTGTGCGTGTTTGTACCTGTGCGCATTTTCCCAAACTCCCGGACAACGGGACAGTAAACCTTAAAAGACAGACTTTGTGCATTTGCCAGGAGGTCGACATCCCAAAACAACAGGCTTCTAAAATGGTGAGAAGTGTTAAACCTTCTACTTAATTAGTTCCAGTTTTTTCATTTATTTATTGTTGTTGTTTTTTTTGAGGTTAGGGGACATTAAATAGAGTAAAAGAGAGTGTGGGGGAGGGGATTTACTCTCCCCGTGCATCAGCTCTGTTTTTTGGTTCAGGGTTGCATCTTCCTTTGTGATTCCAGCCGGCGAGAGTCCGTATGCATTATTAATTAGATGCCAGTTAGGGAGATTTGATCTAGCGTTAATAGAGCTGGCGGTGTGGGAGTGCGTGCCGCCCCCGCGGCGGAGGAGCCCCCACTGCAGCAGGGAGACAGCAGGGAAGCCGACGTCATGGCCGGATGGGCTGGCCGGCGGGCGAAGGCTAGCGGGCACCACGTCAGACGCGAGAGTGACGTATGGACATGCCAGGGGACAGGACTGGGCCGGTCAGCCATGCAGAAAGGGGCCTCCCCCTCCCCGTCTCACCTAGAATCGTAATTAATCTTGTCAGTGCCGGCGTCCATTAGAGCGCTCGCTAACCGCACGCGTCATGTTCAATTGCCGGTTTCGGGCTACGGGATAGCCTCTCCGTCCTCGAGCGGGCGCTGGCAGTCGGAAACAATCTCTTAGGATGGCGGCTAGCTGAAGGTCTCAGGTTTACACCCCCCCCCCCCCAAACTATGAGTGTCATGTACAATTGCTGGTTTTAGCTCACGGGCCACGATCTCAATCTCGTGGTGGGCACTGGCACCTCTGCGGATCCGAACTGCGGCTCAGGGGCTCTGGTTTTAACTGCGCCCCCCCTTGTTCCCACAGTGGTTGTGGAGTCCAGTGGACTCCGAGGTTCTGATGCTCACACCCCCCCTGCTGAGGCCCCCAAGCAAGTATGTTCCGCCATTCACTTTGTGTGTGGGTGTGTGTGTGTGTGCGTGTGGGTGTGTGTGTGTGTGTGGGTGTGTGTGGGTGAGTTTGCACATGTGAGCCTTGGTTGCTTGATAGCTTCTCCTGCCGTGTGGCTAGATCATTATGGCCTGCCCTTTCTCACACTGCAGGATTAAAGGCATCCACTGCGTGTATCAGCCCTGGTCCCATATAACGAGGGTGTTAAACAGGGCTCCGGTTACGCCTGTGACTGGCACTAACCGAGCACATGGTTAATGCCATAACTCCGTAACTCCTGATCTGTCACACGCAGATGGACGGGCCGGTGATTCCAGCCTGCGTGTTTTGGGTGGGTGGTTGCCATGGGGACCATGGTAGTAGAGAATAGGCAGAATGAGCCGGGGCTGATCTCTGCTGACACCTAACTTTAAATAAAGACACCTTTATTCAGGGGACTGCAGGGACCTGTCCAGTCGCATCTATCCCGCCTGACCATTCATCTAGGTTAGGGACTCGCCTCCCCGTCCTGCAGCTTTCGACCGCTGTTCTGGTTCGGCGTGCTTCTACATCCCACCAGTGACGCATCACGTTGCGTCCACTCGCCTCCATGACTAACTGAGCAGTAATAGAGGTTCCCAATCCCTCTCCCATCCCATAAAGCGTCCCCAGTAGCGAGCAGGCCGAAATTAATGGTGTTCTTGAAGTCTGCACAAACCCTGCTTTATTAATCATTCATTCCTTCCTATTTATTACATCGTACAATTGGTTAATACTCGAACAGCAGGAATACCATTTGTAATTAAAGTCGGCGCCTCTCCCTAACGCTAAGACTGGCTGACACCCAGGCCTTCTAAGTAAGGCCTTCAGCATCGCCATGGAGGGCAGGCCTGCTGCCTCGTTTTTTGTTCCTTTCTCACTGTCGCTTGTTTTAATCGGACCCCTGCTTATTATTGGGCATCTCTGTAGGTCAGTCTAATTACACCAAGTGTGTACGGAGGGTGCCTTACCTGGGGGTGAGCGCAGGCAGATGACATACCCTATATTTTGACACGGCTGAACCCCTCCCTGTAAACTCTTATGTTATACATCTTGGTACGCCACAAAAGCTTCCGGTCAGCAGCAGAACGGAGATGCGGTTTATTTGCAGTGCTAAGCGGCGTGACAGAGTTAATGGCGTGTTACTGGTATGAACGTTGCGCGCCTTCTCGCCCGGGCCGCGGGAAGCCTGCAGCCCGTCGCGGCGTCTCTGTCACGCGTCCAGCTGACGGCGAGCGCGGTTGACGTCTCCCTTGGGCCGGAGAGCTCGCCTTCCCCATATGCCACAGCGACGTGCTGTCAGTCACCGTGGCAGCTCCTTCTCGGCCTGCCTTAGAAATGGGGGGGCTGCATACATGACAGGCAGAGCGCCACCTGTGCCCAGTGCACAACGGACCTGACCCCCTCCCCCCCCCGTGTTGCGCCCTTGTCTCTGTGTCCCGCAGGGGAGAGCCCATTCCGGTGCTGGCACTGCCCGTACGTCGCCTCTCAGAAAAGGAACCTGAAGACGCGCGTCCAGAGCGTTCACCGCGCATCCTTCCGTGCCGATGCGCTCCAGCTCGCCGCACTCCGTGTGCCACTCAAGGATCCGCGTGACTCGGCGCCCGCCGGCTCGGCACTGGACTGCAAAGCGGCCGCCTTGGATGAGGAACATGCACCAAAAATACCCCTGGCCGGGGAACCGGCGACGGTGTGAAAGCCCACCAGTGCGAGGCCTGCTTCGTGCCATCATGAATCCGGTTCAGCGTAAATAAAAATGCGGCTCAGCACCTGTTCAAATTGGACCTACCCCGGTCTCATTCTGCTCAGTGGATTTTGTAACTAGTTATTTTCTGTTTCACTAACAGTTCTAAGCACTGCAAAAAATGTGATATATATATATATATATATATATATAACAAAACCCAATCACCTCTGAACAAAGAAAAAAATACAGTACTACATTTCTGTGGCTAATCTGCGGTTCGGACTTGAAACTGACGTTTGTATTATTTATTTTTTTTATTTTAAGATTTGCTTACGTAGATTTCTTAAATTGTAGTTTAAGTCAAATAACTGATTTAGGTAATATTTAAAAATAATCTACTTTTATTTGCAGGAAAGTAAATGCATTTTACTGGGGATTAATTTAGAGTGCAATTCAGTGACGATGATTTTAATAAGTAAGCGATATAAAGCGTTTTAAAAAAGATTATTAATATTTAACCATTGCCCAGATTAACGGGCACCAGAGCTCAGGTTTATGAAATACTCGGTAGGCTACATAAGGTCAGTAACATTTCCTCTTTTCCTCAGGATCGCTTAGCTTCAGGACGGCATACACATGCTGGTCGAAGGTTCCAGACTGAGAGGTTTGGGGAATCTCAGGAGTCGTATTTAAAGAAAGTTAAGCAACCCTTCGAAGTATTTGCTTATATACTTAGGTTTACAGTAGGAATGTACCGCTACCGAAGTTCTATTACGTCGTTTGATATAATGGCGTACATGGAATTACCTTATAATTACCTTATAAGTCTACGGCGGTATCAGCGTCTTATCCGCATTTAAATACAAAGATTATTTGGCGTGAATCTACCGCCGGTGTGCACGCTCACCTTTGTGTCTCCCCCGGGAGCGCGCCGCTCCAATCTATAGGCGACTGGAAAGATGAGGGAGGAGCGCGCTACCGGCGGGGCCGCGCAGAGAGCGGGCAGGTTGAGGAATCCTCTTTTAATAAAGCGTCCCGCTAATCCTAAATCTATGCCGTTTAATTTTATAAATACACGTCTGGTCAACTGTAGGCTTGAAATGCTTACTGATAACTGGTTTTTACTCTGAATCACCATAAGTAATTGTATCTGTTACCTTGAATGGAGTCAGACATTGGACAATTAATATGGTGTTTTGGGTCTAAACCGAGTGAACTCAGACTGAAACGGCGCGCACTGTGGCCTGCCCAGAACCGGGGCCGAGTACCATTGACAGCTGGAAAACCTCAAAATTTGTGCTTTTCAAAATGCGTTACTCTGAACTGGGTGATATTTCTTTAATAGTGATAATCAAGCATATTAATTGAATATATGAACATTTCACTCTAAAAAGGGGTGGTTTATTCAATTCCTGGATATGGGCATCCCCAGGACTGCTGTGGGTACGCCTTTAATCATTGCCTTGCCATAATCCCTATACATATATCTCCTCGTTATTTAGTTGTATCAGCTATAGTAAATTACCATAGATTTTACTTACAGTGTAATTTGTAATTATAATATTAATGTCTAGGTTCATTTGTTATAATATGTTGATATATGGTATTTGTATGCTTAAAAATGTGTGTATATGAATAATAGTAAAGTAACTTTAGTTGCCTACCAAAGTAGTATGAACTGAATTGTTGACGCTGCTGTGCAATTGCATTGATACTCTTAGCTTTACTGAAGCACCATTATGCCACCTACTGGCTTTGAGCTTCGTAGTGATGGGGAAGCCCTCTGCTGTCCTTTTCTCAGACATTTCCAGCATCAAGACCAAATGAATTTAGTTGGTTAAATCTTGGTGCACTTGCTGCTTCTGTGCACGTCTGTCGGAGGGGTGGGAATGTTTCCTTCCGGTTTGCATATGGCGTTTTTTCTCCTGAATATATTTCTAACAGTGGCTTTTGGCTTGACTCTGTTGATGGAAAAAGTGGTAGGGAAGTGGACATTTTAGTTTAGACAAATTTAACAAGTCGTCTCTGTACTTCGGTACAGTTGAAGAAACTGTGAACACACTGAACATTTCAGCTTCAGATTTTCAGCTTCGTATTTGTTCGCTGGATTCCCCACTGCACCCCCATGAAGCCAAAGCCCTGAGCACAGGGACATGGCGTCACAGAGCTGGACTGACTAATGGACTGACTACTCCGCACTCTGTGACTTCCAGATACCAATGATCACTTCTTCAGTTGAGCTTCTTTCCTAGGGGTTCCTCCTGAAGGCCTGGATCCAATTTTACTTTTCTTCATTTGTTTGTCTCTGAGATACATGTTGTTTACGAGCAGTTTTTATATCGATTTCCTACTTGTTTCAGTCCATAGAAAGACAGCACTGTTTAACCTGGATTTTCATTGGTCGCTATTTATTATCTGTCAGGAGGAATCCTCGCTGCGCCAGATCGCGGGACTGGCCGTTCCGGTCTTGAGCGTTGTGTAGATTTCACTTAGAGACTGTTACCAATGACAAGCTCTCTACCTCTCTGGATTCATTCACACATCTTAAGCCGTTTTGTACATCGTTGATGCTGTAATGTAATTACCATATTAAAGAGATGGAAGTGGCTTTGCTTGTCTGAGCATAACTGTGTTTGTCATGTGACGGCAATGCGACTTGCAGGTACATGGAGCTGATAAAAGGACCTCTAATGCGATGAAACAGGCTCAGAGTGGGCCCTGCTCCGACCCCTTTTAAGCAGTTCTTACCAGATTTAAATAACTGCATTTTGTCCCCTCCGGCAGACAGACACATTGTTTTATTTTCTTATTTGGTTAAACGGATGCATGACCGTCAGTTCAAAGAAATCACTGCACGTTAAGGCTGGCTAATCTGCCTTTGTTATATCACCGTTACGTCACCCTGCTTATTTTCCTAGTGATTTTGCGGTATTTCTTAGTGTAAAATTGAATGGTTGACAGAAGACTTAACATCTTCTTGTTCTTCAGATGAACTGTGTGAGAGAAGGACCTCTAATCCAGACATTGTGGCCGTGACCTGAGCACCTCATTTGTGGTGAATTATTCGCTCACCTCAAACCCTGTGCAGAATAAACATTTACGGAAGATGCATGGATGGATACTGTACCAGCAACAAGCATGACGATGAGGGTTAGGGTTGCGTTTCTCAGGAAGCTGGCTGAGCTTGATGGACCACCTATAAACTCGAATGGGAGACTGTTTTATTCACCCAGGAGTCGTACCATCTCCTGAGTGAATATTTTTTAAAGAATCCCCCCCCCCGCCCAAATGTCAGACTGAATGGCATCGTGTCTGACTACTCTGACAGGCGAACGATGTGTGACAGAAGTGCTGGCGGGTCCCCGGGCAGCCAGATGAGCAATGACTGACACCATCTGCCTGCCAGTCACTGGCACGCCTGAGCCTGTTACAGACACGTTGGTGCTCCCCCTGGGTGCGTGGAAACCTGTTCGGCGACAGCTCCAGCCTGTACTCCTTTTAATGTGACGGAGCAGAGACTCACCCCAAATTACACCCCTCAGTGTCCATTTCAAGTGGCCACTTTCTGCTAAAATAGACCGTTAAAAGTAGACCGTTAAAAGTAGACCATCAGTGCTACCTTCAGAAATAATTAAAGATGCGTTACTGCATTTTACACACTCCATTAAATAGTCCCATATCAACGTACATCTATAATATTTATGCTAAGCTGGTCACTAAGTTCAGTTTGAATGACACATATGAAGTGTTTAACACTTACAGCTTCCCCACCACTAACAAATATTTTCACTGCTACTTGAAATACAGGAGCAATATCAAAAGAAATGTAGCAGATAAAGAATGAGATCAGACACCAGAAAAATCGGAGGATTTTCTTCGGAGCAGTTTCTGTCACAGGCTTGTTTTTATGGTGCAAAATTCCTGCTCGATTGTCATCTTAAATCTTTATGTCCCTGTAAAACTGTGAAATTGGTTTGGAAATCATAACATTTTGAATGAAGGCTATATACCTTTTAATATATGAAATTAAATTTGACTAGTGTTTAAAATTAAAAGACACTCATTGCATTAGCGTTTAGTGCAGCGTTATATTAAAAATAGTTTTAATCTGATATAAAAAGCACAGGAAAAGATGTGTCAAAGTATCCAACCTGGCATCCGTTTGTCATTGTATATGAGCCAGTTAAATACATCTTCAGGATGTTTATCCTCAAGATTACCACAAGCAAGTAGAATCCATCAATCCATCTTAACCTACAAACGCGTTTAAAATGATTTTACACCGCATGGTTCTTTCGTGAAGCATCTGAATTATCATTCAGCATGCAAATGTCTCCCCGAGTGTGTCTCAGCACCCGGCACAGGGAGCTGGTAACACGGCAGGCAGAAAGCGCTTCATGTATGATGTCACCGGCATGCAGATGAGTCCACGTGGCGTTTGTCATACCAATGACCAAATCAAAAAAAAAAAAAACAACACAGCATGCAGGCTCTTGAAGCTCTTATCGAAGATTGTCAACCACTGTGCCTTAAATCAGTCACTGTATATTCACATGCCTGTGAAATCGCCCCCTTCCTGTACATGGATTACCCTGATATGTTTCTTCTGAAGCCACCTTCCCAGCTTGAAGCAATTTGGGTCGGCAACCAGGTAGGTTCTTCTTGGCCCTGGAGCTTGTGGCCCTTAACCGCACCACTTTCTGTTGGTGCCTGGATGTAAGGAAACACCACAGCCATATCCTCTACCATCAGACAAAGGGGCGTGAAGCTCACTCACTCAAACGTTCCGAGGGGCAGTGTAAAATGCGACCAACGTGGGGGCGACGGCAGGCCAGGCAGGGGGTGGGGGGGCGCATGCAGCTTTAAGAAAGCGTCAGCCGTCCTCCAACAAAGGAATGTTTCCGCTGTCGGTATGGAAATGGGGAGCCGACCAAAGGCGGCAGAATCGCAGGTGGCGGGAAAGGTTGCGGCCTGCAGCCTTGCTAATAGAGGACGCGGGGCGTGGGCGCAATGGGCCTGCATGAAAGCGACTGCAGAGCGTTCTGCATGAGCAGGACCTCCACCCAGTGACCCCTGCCTCCCGCTTTTCACTGTGCCTGACAGTAATGAATGTAAAGCAGTATTTATGAATATCAAATCTTATTAACACCAAAGCGGCTGAGGAAAGAAGCAACTGAAAGCTTTGTCTCTGTGACTCCTGGGGAGGGGGGTGGGCGGGGGGGAGGTAGATTCCCTGTGACTGGTGCTTCACAAAGACAATAAAATATCTTTTAGGAGTTAATTATAAAAATGCATTTCATTTTGACTGCTCATTTGTTGTTTTTTCTTGTTTGTTTTCTTCTTCATTCAGCTCTGGCGTTAAATCAGCTGCGTGTGTGGAGGCTCTGTGGCGGGTGGTAATGACCCATTTGACAATACGAGATGTTTATGTTTGGGTTGGACACTCTCATATTCAGATTATTTTAATCATACAGTCGTCACGAGACCCTGCTAGAACCAAAGCAGTAGAGGCATGCTCAGAGACAATTTAAGAAACATGGGCTGTTTTTACAAACCTTTGACGCATTACTGGTCAAACGCCAATGTACAGTCATAACTATGGTGTGTTGTAGGATGTCACAGGGATCCTCTTTTCAGTGCTTACAGTTTTTAGCGCTGTCACTTTTCACCATGATCTTCCACATTGTAGCTGTGATAGGTCAGATTCTGGACATCCTCTATCAGCAGATACATTGCGGTACATGACACAGGAACCACCCCTGGATACCTGTGAGGTGCCCTGTAATCCTACTTCTGACATCTGGTGGCATAAGTCTGATCCGGAGCGTTCTGACCTGCTCTGTTCTCTGCTCTTCAGCTCGAAACGTATCATTGGATTCTCTGTGGCATTTCACGTGCGCTGTCCTACGTAATTGGTGCTCGGTAGTTGAAAAATGATTAGAATGTATCTTAATGGCATTTAAAACCTCCATCCCTCAGAAATCTGCTTTATGTGGATACTTCCAGCATCACTGTATTAACGCTACACTATTGGTAGACATCATCCACTCAGCCCGCACCCCACAGCAATTTATTTTGAAGAAAATGGTGACAGTATAGGGGAATGTGGCACACGGTACTTCCCTTTAAGTAGATACCCATTCTGTTGGCCTCAAACCCTCAGTTGACAGTGGTGGAGATTAAGGCAGGTAGATTGTTCCGGTTCATTGCCAGTTAGCTTCATTCTGCACTCCAAACAACAGCTGTCTCGTTGCATCTGTGGGCTTGTTTTGCTCACAGCGTTTCTCCTGAGCCGCGTCACAGGGAGGATAACAGTGGCTGAACTAGGCCTGCAGTGTGCTTTCACGCACACTGCAGTGAGTTGCAGTACAGGAATGACTGTGGGGAAGTGCAGTTCAGTGGAGCAAGTCCAGTGACACAGGTCCAGTGAGTCATTTACAGTGAGGTGGGTCCAGTAAGATATGAACAGTTATACAGGTCCAGTAAGCACTGTACCCTCTACAGCCTTAGTGATTTGCTTCTGAGTGCATTTTGAAGTAGATGCTCAGTTTCTTTAAAAATGAGCATAATCACCAATATTATTTTCTTAAGCTTTAGTTCTGATTTTATCCTTAGACACATAGAGAAAGTAGCCTACTAGAAGGTTTCCACAGTTCCAGTTAACGGTGCTGAAACCACAAGCACACATGGGCACATATTTTATGTTGATCGTTTGACCTATGCGGTTTAAACTGCAGCATAGGTCAAAGAAATTAACACAAGTGGAGATAAAGTCTAAAATTCAGACAGTGACTTTTCCCCGCAAATACTGATTTGATAAGAAGATATGTGGTCACGAATGAGAGGACGACTGAACCTAATGCATTATGAATTTCTCCATATTCTTCGCTAATTCAGGTGACCGTTAGGTGTCGGCGTGGTTAACGACCCGGACTTACAGCTGAAATGGGTCATGATTTCATATCCTACTAACATACGACTGTTCCGTTGTTTTAGTAAGATACTTTAAAGCGCGTAGTTAAAGAATATAGGAAGGATTAATTAAACGTCTCCGTTTTCTGCAAATGAGCCGTCGAAAAGTTTTATTGAAAAACATAGTCGTCAAGATCGAATTAAAAAAGTAACCGCGCTCATGAAACGTTATCAACTCCCGAAATACTTAAGATGTGCATAATCACGAGGAGTGATAAAAACCGCAAGCTGGAAATCGACATTTGAATTATTATGGTTATTATGTTGATATAGGTATAATTTCGCCTCACACGAAGAGACTCCCCCATTGAACCACTGACAGGAGGTTCGGCTGATAATTGGATACATGAACAGGCAAGAACTACCGAAGCGAAATCCTTATTTATAAAACTGTGTAGAAGACGATAGATATTACATAAAATTTCACTTGAACTTGTTTATTGGTGAATCTATTCTGTCTTGGGGTCCCATGTTTTAATGAAAGTCATTATTTTCTGGCAGACGAAAATAACAATACAACAAACAGTGCATGTGTGTTTTATGAAGACAGCAACGATGATCTTGTAGGTCCTCATGTTTAATCAAATAATAACGTTAATTTCTCGGGTAAAACGTTCCCCGGCGCGTGACTGCTGTACAAGGCTTAGCCAGGAGATGGCGCACAATGGCAGGAAGAGCTGTGGTGCAAAAAAATAAATGAATTCTGAAAATATAAAGCGCCTGACATTTGTGCCGCCGGTAGTTAACATTAAGGCAGAAATGCCTCCATAATTTTCTTAGCAGTGGGGTTAATGGTAACCTGAAGGTTTCGATGAGAATATGGAGAAAGACAGTGCAAACGCAGCTCAAACATGAGCCACGCGCGGGTACATAGGTGACAATATCGGTGAAAAATATGATTTTCCTGAAATAACTAAATATACACAAAATACATCCAGACGTGCAAACTCAAGTGGTTAAATAATACATGTTTTTCATGTACAGAAGATATGATACACAACACTGAATACTGTTAAAATGTCCGTATTTAATATTTATATTTGGAACTCTTAAATATATAATAATCTCCGTTGTGAACTGAAATATTTTTCGTTTTGACCATTTTTCATGCTTTGCTTTTTTATTTGCGTGTACTATCGGAACAATAACCTAATTTATATCATACGATTTATAAATGCTTTGACGTTCTTTTCCAATCGAACCCGGAATTCCTCATTCCCACAGGGCACTTTGCCTCCCCGGCCGCCCGTCGGACCTCACACCGGTACGTGGATCCTTTTACCGGACTCGAGCTCCGTAACTAAGGTTGCTCTTCGATGGTTTTATTATAGTTCTTACTGTAGGCATACTGGAAATGTAAGACACAATTTCAAACATGCATTTATTGTTCGGTTTGTAAATATATTTAATACTGGGCCGTGCTTAATTTGTGAATCAGCAGGTGCCGGAACGCGGAACGCATGAGAACGGAGGGGAAAGAGGTGGACGCAGGTCCCGGAAGGCGCCAGTTAGCTTACCCATGTATTTTTAAGAATTAATCTAAATTAATAAAGGACGTGAAATTTTATCTGTAAATTAAAATACACAACATAGACAAAAATACATTTTTTAATGTTTTTTTTTGTTTGTTTTTAACCAGAGAGCTGCGGGACCTGGGCAATACGTGACAGAAGGCAGACAGCACAAAACGGAGAGGTTCCGGAACGCGTTCCTGTATAGCAGCCGGAACAAATTAAGCCTTGATATCCGGTTATTATGACGTAATGTGCAATGCAGCGTTTGATATTTTCAGATGTCCAATGCTACTGGAATTTCAAGTATATATACTGTTTTCAGGCCACCTATTGTAAACATCCTGTGGTGCAAATTTGTAGAAATGATTAGCTGTAGACGCAGTAACGGTACTAGCAGCAGCACTAACACGGCAGAGTAATAATATGCTCCTATTCAGTAGGCCCAGACAGCAGGCCTGTAACAGTGCCTAGAGAATGCAGCTCCTCTTGCCATGACCCTGGCCACTGGCACAGTGTCTTAGCACCGGTCTGCTTGAAGTCGCCTGCGTCCAGCAGATGGATCACCGGACCTCGATCGCCCACCCCCCTCCGTCGCTGTCTTCCATCATCAGGACGTTTTTATACACTGTTTACGGCCGCATTTGTCATTTGTACTTTTATAGACACTATTTTCCGGGATTTCTGCTCCATTGCCTCCTCTGAAAGGGTCAGAGGAATCGCTTTTTGGGTCCGTCCCCACGTCCCTGCTCTTTGACTCACTCAGGAGGAGCGGCTGACTGACAGGCCCCTCGCCATCGTCTCAGAGGAATCGCTTTTTGGGTCCGTCCCCACGTCCCTGCTCTTTGACTCACTCAGGAGGAGCGGCTGACTGACAGGCCCCTTGCCATCGTCTCAGCGGGCCTCCTCCAGCCGGTCCCTGCTGCCCAATTCAGGTACTGTGTCATTCCAGGGCCAGTTTTGTCACCCTGTCCTCAGGCCGGTCCGCCTCGGACATTCCGCATTTCATCCACCCTGAGTGCCGTCACCTTGTTTACGGCTTCACGCGGGGTGCGATGCCAGCAGCCAGCCCGCTCTGAGCTGTCAGTGACGGACAGTGCGGGTGGCGAGGGTGGGGGGGGGGCTCTGGTCCGAGCCACGTGTCCGCCTTGATGAGTTCCCGCTGGCCCTCCGGATATGCGTCTCTCTCCCGGCCTGCAAGAGTAGTGTGCAGTGTCCATTCCGCGGCTCTCTCTGACCGTGTCAGTCATGCTCTTAAGGGACTGTGGATTATGCCTAATGACCATTTCCTGCAGGCCCAGGAAGGCAATAATGCTCAGTGGTCTGCTTTGGGGAGGGGGGGGAGGGTAAGTTGAAGGATGGAGGGGTACTAGGACTGTGAAAGGCACTGGTTTTTTATTTCTGCTACGTGGGACAAGGCTGTCCAGAAGGGCGTGCGCTATTGTACTCTACAGCAAACACACCCTGACAGGGACAGGCCAATTTACAACTCCTAATCCACTCCCCGATTCATGGTGGACAAGTTTACCAAACCAGACTTGCTCTCGCATCACACCAGTGGATGACGCAGTGATTCGGGGGACCAGATTTATGACCGAATCCCGCAACAGCTCCTTGAGACTGAACCTGAACCGCTGCGGTCAATTTGCCAGGACCGTACTTCTGAAAACATTCAAGTTTGTGAGCTCAGTAAGTTCATTTTGGTGGCAGTAACAAACACCTATGGAGGGAACAGGGCTCTGATCCACAGCTTCTGACCATAAACGTCCTCTGACCCAAAGTCTCAGAACACGGACACATTCTGACCCGATGTTTCTGACTGTACACGCTCCCTGAGCTCGTCTGACCTAATGTCTGTGCCGGTGAGCGCCTCCCCTTGGTGAGCACACCCAACCCCACCATCTGGGGATCTGCTGAACCGGCCAGGACCGTACGTGTGAACCACTCACCTGACCCGTTCGTCTGAAAGTAAAGTGAACCTGTAACAGTCACAAGTCTTTTCTGTGAACTTCTAGAGAAATGTCTTTTGTTTCTAATTGTAGCAGTTGTATAATGAGCAATAAATTATTTATTAACAAACCCATTAACGCTGCATTAGACTTAAAGAAATGTTCCATTCAGGAAACATCCTAGCTTTTGCTAATAATGCACATTAATCATTAGCGGATGTCACTTAACACAAGGTTAATGATGCTTTGTTAATACTACTCCAACATATTCCACATCAGAAAGCCCTTGTAAGAGTAATTTGTAACCCTAACCTTTATTTCAGCCCATTTTAAGAGTTTGATTGATGGACAAAGGACATATTGTGTTCATTACTTTAAAACGTAACATGCTAAATGAGGGCTGGGCCGGACTGAGTTATCTACTGTCATGCCATTGGTGCCCTTGGCATTGCCAGAGCCAATCAGGGCCCTGTGCTGAGAGTGTGACATTAAAGTGGCAGTTCACCATACCGGCGGGTGGCTTTATCCAAAGAGGCTCTGCTAGATTATAGTTATGATTTACATGAAATATTCCAATACTACAGCTGTACCACTGCCCTACAGCAAACTGATGTCAGGTCTCTCAAAGGTACAACAGCTAATCCCTTTCATCAAGATCAGTTACAGGAAGTGTGTGTTTGGGGGGGGGTTTGCATTGATCACGGACCTAAATGTCCCCAAAGTGTGGTAAAACCTGAAACGTCCTTACTTTTGGGCACATTTTTCCTGTCCCCATTTAGATAATACATACATTTTTTTCAATCCCCACAAGGGGAAGCTCAGTTTTATAAAAATCTGTGACTGCAATCAAAAAACTGAAAACGGCAAAAGTCTTTTGTTTTGTTTGGTTACTCATGGTTAAAGTTGGGGCTGGGTCGGGGTTAAGACTGGCTTTTATAAACCACTCTGCCTTGCTCAGGAAAATGCGTCTCCTGCTCTGTTTATTAATGCTTCTGACAGCTGTATTGTTTATGGCTTATAACAAGAATCTTAGTGATATTCTTCATTACTTACTATTTAAAGCCTAACGTTGCCCTACAAAGGGTACCATTTGTAAATCTAAAGTCAATATGGCACTAAATAAGCCTGAAATGAGTCACCCCCCAACAACTGTTTCATATATAAGTGAAATAAGCCTTTTGCCCCCAAAATCCGATGATTTATCTCCCTCGTTTCAGTCACACACACCAGATATTATTTCTTTTTTAAGTTGCACTGTTTCAAGATGAAATGACTTATTGATCTGAGGTTGACTTAGTGTGGATTTAATTTGTGTTTGGAAAATTAAAACAGGTGCATTACAATTTCACAAACCGGGGTTGGAGGGGGGGGGCTCAGTGCCATACTTCTCGCCAATTCGTTTTTCATCCCGCTGAGCCCAGGGCTATGTTTATATAAATCAGGCAGTGCCGTAGTCGGGGAAGGGCCTCGGGTGGCGTGGGGTGGGGCGTGGGGGGGGTTGGCTTCCATACCTTTGAGTGAGGCACTTAACCCCGTCGCTTTGGGACAAAACCCAATAGTGGGCAATCTGGGACCATCAGGGTATGGGTCCGAACAGCGTCACTGGGTACCCACAGCTAGACCGCGCAGCCCACCCAAAAGCTGACCCTTTGTAGAATGTATGTGGCCACAGACCTTCCCAGAATGCTCTGGGGCAGGCTGGCTGTGATCCAGCGGCTCTCGTCTGCACAGGCAGGAACCGCCACATGGTTAACATCAAGCCGCTTGTCGTCGTCTGAAATACGTTTTCATTACAGACATTTAGAGGGGATAATTAGATGGGTGGGTGAGTGTGCGCATGTATGGGGGGGGGGGTTACGCTTCTCCCTCTTCAGCTTTATATCACATTTAAAGCTACGGCTGCAATGAGCTTAAAGTCACTGACCCACGACCTGAAAGCTAAAGTTTAAGTCCCATGAAAGGTTTGCCGTTGTACCCTCAAGAAAACAGTGAACCCCGAAAGGCGGGAAGGAAATAATTATCTCCGGTCTACACTCTCAGTTAAGCAGCAAGATCACAAAAGAATTCAGTGCTGTGGCTTCCCCCGGAGTCCTGCGTTATTGATTTGATACAGTGAAAAGTGTTCGACGATCTGCGCACAGTGCTGTTCTAAAGACGAATCTCACTGGATTGAAACCCTTGGTGGGCATCACACTGCAGGACATCACTGCAGGTGCCAGTGGCTCCCTAAAGCACATCTTTGACATTTTAGAAACCTTATTGTACGATTCCATGAAATTACTTCTCATCATATGACCCAGGCCAATTTTTTTCATGTGATGGTTGATATATAATTTTGAACACTTTTTATAGCTGTTCAGTTCTCCAGTTGCATTTTAGGCGTAATGATTCAGAGAACAAAGATGCATTGCAGATTTATAAATTAGATATTTTTGTAAACACAGGCAGGGGGTGGAGGGGGGGGGGTGAGCGAAGGTAGGCAGGCACCAACAGAAATGTGTTATTAGCGCCTGCTTCTGGGGAAGAGGGGAGGATCCGTTTAGGAGAGCCCCCCCCCCCCCACCTCCAACACCATTGTTTATTCATACATATGTGATTTCAACAGGTTCTTTGTTCTCTGCCTTTCACACCCAACACAGTGTTCTTTTAACTCTCAATTTAGTGGCAAAAAGAGGCACACAATATTAGCTTTGTTTCAAAAAAGTTTGAAAAAACTTGGATTTGGGAGAAAAAAAATAGAATTATAAATATATATGTATTTCCAAACAAGAGTACTGCGTCTTATTATCAATTACAAACAGGACCATTGTATCGAAATATGACTACTGTATATATACACTGTATACCTTCATGTATATCGGTATAAAACCATTGTATTTAAATATTAATTCCAACTAAAGTTACTATAAAGTCTAGTCTGTAAGGACTATTGTAGGTAAATGAGAAAATAGTGGTTCCAAATATGACAATTTTATTTATAAGCTTATGAGACTTTGAGCACATGTAGGTCTGCACTTTGTGGTCATGGTTTGTCTGCTATTTTCTTATTCTAATAATGTTTCACAATGATTTCAAATGATAGAAGCATCACTGGTGAATTTTGTGTGTCTGTGGATTAGGTTTATTTTCCATTGTGTGAACTAAATGTCCCTCACAATGTAATAAAAACCTGTTATTTTGATGTTGTGGGGACCATTTTTCTGGTCCCGACAAAGATCTGTGAATGCAAACAAAAAACTAAAAATGCCAAAAGTCTTGAATTTTGTTTAGTTACTTACAGTATGGTTAAAATTGGGGCTGGGTAGGGGTTAAGGGTCATGTTGGGATTGGAGTTTTCCCCATAGAAATGAATGGAGCGTCCCCACAAAGATATAATTACAAACCTGTGTGTGTGTGTGACTGGCGAAGGCCTCTCCGGTCACCATGATGTGACAAGTCTTATATCTCCATACCACCAGGCAGACAGAGAGGAAGTCGCACTGTGAGTGGGACAGGCCCCGTCACCCTGGGACATCATCCATACATTTATATTTAGTTGCTCGACTGGCTGCTACATCAGGTACCTTCTCCAGCTCCTCCTGAACTCATGACCTTCTGCCTACACAGGTCATAACACCTGCTACCCAGTTTGCTGCTTGTCGCCCGCGTCCCAGCCTCTGCACAGGTCGATAGATTTTACTGCTAAAATTGTAAGTTTTTCATATGATAGTGATCATATGAATCATGTGATCAGCGGCCAGGGACATGGCGGAGGGGGGGGGGTGGCTGAGATGCCTGAGGTCTTGGCCCTTTGGCCCAAACGATTGAAAGTGCCCCCGTTTGGTCACCATTGTTCACCGACTTAGCAAACCGCAACCTGTTCAAATTCTGGTTCGGTTTGCCCTCCTCCTCAGTCGCCACATTTGAGCACCTGCCCCTCAAAAGTCATCAGGGATTATCCCCAAAACTGTAGGAAAGCATGAATTGCATTGAACACATGCCTCTTCTGTGCCATACACAGAG